AATCCACCTTAAACAATTCTACCTATGTTCATGGATACTCACGTGATGAACTCTAAACTTGTTGATGAAGATGTTCGCAATCGAGACCATGGGTCGTGGCTCAAGACGCATTGATTCTCTCTAATATACGTAATGTGCATGGTTCGTGCTACAATACTTGTGCCCTCCCCATAACTGAACCTAGGTATGGTTCGTACTTTGATTCAATTACAAGGAGAACCCATTAAGTTCAAAGAGAATATGAACATCACAAGAATCCTAATAGCATGGTGTTTACATTAGGTATTCAAGAAACCAATTCACATGGATGGTTCTTACTCCATCCATCTATTGCTTAGGAAAACATGAAGATACATATAATCCCAACAACCTCAAGAAGCATGCTTTCAAAGGTACTCAATCAAGGAAAACACACATCAAGGATAGATTAATTTGGTGAATTGGAATTCATCAACAATATCTAGAAATTCATACACTCAAGCATCAAAACAAAAAGGTAATCATGTTTAGGTCTTCAACCTAAGCCCTAGCTATGGAGTTTAGTTCCTCATAATCATTTCAAACACAAATTCAAAATGAAATTAGAAAGAGTTTACAGATTTTCAGAAAATGATGAAAGCTTCAAGATCATCAATGGTGGAAGTCTTCTTCTCCACTTTTCTTGACTGCACCTTGTCTTTCTCCTAGCTCCAAGCTCCAAAATCTGCTCTCAATTGTGTAGAATGGTGGAATCCCTTCTCTCCCGTTGCAAAAACTCCCCCAAATCTGATTGCAATCCCTTTTGACTTCTGCCCCTTCTTTCCAGCTCACTTTTAATATAAAACTTATTCTTTCTCTAAAGCTTTTGCCCATTGTCCCCTTGCAAATGATGAAGCCTTGTTTTAAGGTATAATCCAAGGCTCCAATTGACTCAGGAAATGCCACTCAAATGCAATCCATTGTTACCAAAAGGTGTGGTAACAAGTAGAAATAAAATGCTATTAAGTGGGGGTGAAAACTGGGCCAAAACAAACATCCAGAGCCAGCGTCAATTGTCCGATCAGCTGGATAGGCTACACTTGCCCAATGGAGCTCAAATTTGGATATGTTGTAGTTAACATCCATTGGAACAAGTCTTATGAAGATCATCACCTCATCCAAGGACCGGAACATGCTGATCCAAGGCCACGAAGTTGACCTACGAAAATGAACAAAAACAGAATTTATATCAAATAATGCACTTTTAGCTCATTTTCATACAAACCAAGGTAAAACCTATTAAAACACAAAAAAGAAGTAAAAAGCTATAAAATGTCAAGAACTAACTCAAAATAGTGGGTGAATAACATGAAAAATTATGTGTAAAAATGAACCGAACATCCACCACCATTGACAGATAGAGAGGTCTTAGTAAAGGTGACGGCGAGAAAGGTGAGAGGCTGAGAGCAGACAGTATATAAATTTTAAGTACTAATACGAAACTTAAAAAGAAAAAACAGAGCATAAAATAACAGAGTCATGAGCCAACTGCCACAGAAAATAGACTGGTATTGCAGCAAAACTAGGAGAAACACCACACCATCCTACGAAACCCATCACTCTCTCCCTCTATCACTCCCTCACTCTCTCTTTCCCTTTCTCTACTCAACCTAAAAGCCGCAAGGAACACAAAGCCCCAATCTCATAGAACAACAGAGAAAAACACTAATTTCAGAAAATTAGAGTACTTGGAAACCCGAAAATCAGAAATGCAATGAAACTAGTTAACTTACGGATGAGTAGCCGATACGTATACGTATACTATATGGCTCGATACGTGCCAATACGTATCGTATACGAAAATTGGAGTATGCGTTGACTTTTTGAATTGTTGACTCTCCTTTACGGCAGCGGGACACCGTTGATACGCAACGGGTACAGTTGGTGTTGCAGAGGTGGGTGTATGCCTCGCGAAGAAGATGAGCGTGTGTTGGTACCTTGTATCTAATAGTAATAGTAATAGTAATAGACTCTCACTCTTCGTGAAACGCTGCGTTTTATGTTCAATATTTTTGAGGGATAGTAATATCGGGCTGCTTTTTGAAAGAAATTTTTTTCTTATTGGACTGAACGCTGCAAAATATTAGGACCGTAGGTCTTAGGGCCAGTTTGAAATTGCTGTCACTTTTATAAAAAAAATTGTTTTTGTTGTGTTTTGAAAATAATTAGCTGTAAAGTAAAGCAGCTCCATGTTTGGTAAATAATATTTTTAAAGTGTTGTTAGTACAAAAAGTAATGTCAAAACTGTTTGGTAAATTTTAATATAAAACTGTTGTAACTGTGAATAATTACTAAAATAGACATGATATTGAAAATGTTATGCGTTAATCATGTGGCGGTAGTAGTGGCGATGGTTGAGGTGGTGGTGAAAGAGATGGAGGTGAAGGTAGTGTTTAAAGAGGTGGTGATGGTGATAAAGGTGGAGGTGGTGGTTGTGGTTAGGGGTGGGCTCGGCCTGGGTTGGTTCAATTTTGGATTCAAGCTGAACACCGAACCGTAGGCTTCAGTTTGGCTATTTTGGCTTTCTTAGAGAGAGAGAGAGAAGAAATAAAAGTGATGGAGATAGGGAGAGATGGAGAGGAGAAGAAGAAAAAAGAAGGAGAGATGGAGAGGAGAAGAAGAAAAAAGAAGGAGAGATGGAGAGGAGAAGAAGAAAAAAGAAGGAGAGATGGAGAGGAGAAGAAGAAAAAAGAAGGAGAGATGGAGAGGAGAAGAAGAAAAAAGAAGGAGAGATGGAGAGGAGAAGAAGAAAAAAGAAGGAGAGATGGAGAGGAGAAGAAGAAAAAAGAAGGAGAGATGGAGAGGAGAAGAAGAAAAAAGAAGGAGAGATGGAGAGGAGAAGAAGAAAAAAGAAGGAGAGATGGAGAGGAGAAGAAGAAAAAAGAAGGAGAGATGGAGAGGAGAAGAAGAAAAAAGAAGGAGAGATGGAGAGGAGAAGAAGAAAAAAGAAGGAGAGATGGAGAGGAGAAGAAGAAAAAAGAAGGAGAGATGGAGAGGAGAAGAAGAAAAAAGAAGGAGAGATGGAGAGGAGAAGAAGAAAAAAGAAGGAGAGATGGAGAGGAGAAGAAGAAAAAAGAGGGAGAGATGAAGAAGAAGAAAAAGAAGAGGAGGAGAAAAATAAGAGAGAGAAGATGAAGAAATTATAAAATTCATTAAAGGCTCATCTCTACTTCGTTTGAAAACAACTTTGAAAAGCAACCCAGAGCAAACCCATCCACACACACCTTTCTCCTCTCATGCAAATACTCTTGGAAGAAACAAACCCATCCCACCCTCATCTCAGCCTCCCCAGCCAACGTCCCCCATCATCCCTTGACCAGCCACAACAACAGCCACCCCCACCCCTTCTCACGAACCCATCCCCATCCTCCACGTATCAACCCTACCCATCCAGCCTCATCGGCCTCCCCACCTACACAGCCCCACCTCAATCTCCCCAACCTGCGCACCTGCCCAACCCTCAAACCTAGTAGCCCCAACCCACCTTAGAGCACCTCTTTGATTGGAGCGTTGCGAAGAAATTGATGGTGGGAAATGGGTTTGAGAGGAAGGAGATAAGAGGAGGAAATGGGAATGGGTTTTAGGCCTTGTATGCAATGTTTGACACATGAGGGTTAGATGTTATGGTTAGCTGATAACTCGATAGGTTCTTATGGGATCTGATTGGGTGGCTATGAGGTTGGATTTTATATTGTTTTGCGTATGTAATGGAATGTTGAATTTCAAAATTGTCTATTTGGATCTACTCATTTGCAAAAGATATATTAACATATTGCTGATGGCTTTGAGGGTTGGGGAGGTGCTGAAATAGGGTGAAGTTGTTGAAATTTTTAGAGAAAATTTTCAAGTTCTGGGTATGTGTTGTAGGTTGGGTGACTGGGTGAGGGTTTAGATCGGATTTGTTGCAAGAGGTTGTGGCTAGACATATGTTGTAAACGGGACAAGTCGGTGGTTGTTTGGTGTTTTTTGTTTTTGAGAAGATGGTCGAAGGATGGGGTGCGTCTAAAGGCAGAGAGTGACGGGTTTGGGAGTCCTTATTACTATAGGATTCTTAGATATTTAGGTTTGTTTTCTGTTTTGAATAAGTCCCTACTATGTAGGGAGAATTGTTTACTGTTTTGACTCTTTCCTATGCACGTTACCACGTTTCTGTTAGTGTGAATCGTGGGCTGTATTTCAGCTTTTTGTTAGTTCTTGTAAGGCTATATAATAGCCAAAGGTTGCTGTTGTTTGTGCCTGATAAATCACGGCCATAGGCTAGCCGAAGGAGCCCCTTCTCTCGGCCCTGGCACTTGTTCGTAAAAACTGAAACGCAGCGTTTCGCCAGGGTACTTCCTAAAGACAAAAGAAGAAATGCTAAGGCATGATCATCTCGGCCTCAAGCGCAGGCCGAGGCCGAGGCCGAACAAAATCACGGCCAAGGCATTAAGGGCAAATCATCACGTGACAACAGGGTCCCAGGCTTCATTTAATGAAGTAGTGCCTGTTTAATGCAGCAAACCCATTGGCCACAAAGAAGCATTTAATGCATGAGGGAAGGTGGGAAGTGACTGAAGTCAGGATTTGGTGATGAGGATCAGAGTGATTAGACGTGGACATTCTCACAAGAATTCTGACAGCCTGAGATATTGGTTCACCAGCTATCCAGGCCATAAATGCGTCTCCACGGCCAGAAGCTCAGAACCCACGATCAAGAGCGGCGGCCGAGATTCACCGGGATTTCTGGGGTCTCACCACCATACT